AAAATATTATATATATATATAGAGAGAGAGAGAGAGAGAGTAACTTAAAAAAAAAACCCACATCGCTCAGGGGCTGTAGAGATGGCTCAGCAGTTAAAAGTGCTGGCTGCTCTTGCAGAGGACCTGGGTTCTGTTCCTACCACCCACATGACAGCTAGCAAAAATCTGTAACTTCAGTTCCAGGGGATCTGACCCTCTCTTCTGGTCTCCACAGGCATTGCATGCATGTGGCACACTCACATACATGCAGGCAAAAACACTCATACACATAAAATATAAATAAGTAAAAAAAAATTTTAAAGATTACACAGCTCAGATGCATGCAACAGCATGAACTTTCACCTCACCTACTCCGGAAGCTGAGGTAGGGTGATGGCTCAAGCCCAGGAGTTCGACTAGCCTCTGCAACATAGCAAGACCTTGTCTCAAGAAGCAGAAAAAACCATCCACAGCTATTCAGGGATGATTTACTTGACCTCAGGGTGTGTCTCACTGTGGGGACTCCAGACATTATGGCCCAGCCTGAGTCTGTTATGATAGGGTCGGGGAGGCTAGAGCTGAGGAGGGACCACCTCTCCTTCGCATGGAGGAAGAAGAATGGGAGGCAGGAGACCATCCGTGGTCATAGAACTCTAGAGAGCTGTGCTTTTTCCATGCTGTCCACACTGTTCTGTACTGTCCACATAGTTCCATGCTATCCACATAGAAGGTTTTACTCTGTTCTGGGCACCACATTGTTTGCTGTATTTGCACTGCTCAGTAAACGCTGATCAGTGCTCTGATCATTAACATTTTGCAAATGAGAAAACTGAGGCAGAGTAGGTCTAAATAACTTGCCTAAGGATACCCAGGGAATGCAAAGATGCTTAGAACTTAGAGCTCTTTAGTCTGGCTCTAGGACCTGCATTCTTTTTTTTAATTAAAAATTTCTTTATTATTTTTGTTTTATGCATATGAATGTTTTACCTGCATGTATGTAAATGCACCTGTGTTATACAATGTGTACAGAAGCCAGAAGAGGGCATCAAATCCCCTGGAACTGGAGTTACAGATGGCTTTTAGCTACCGTGTAGGTGCTGAGAACTGAACCCAGGTCCTCTGCAAGAACAGCCAGTGCTCTTAACCACTGAGCCATCTCTCTGGCCTAGAGCTTGCATTCTTTTTTTAAAACAATATTTTATATATATATTGGTCTTTTCGAGACAAGGTCTCCCTGTAGCTCCAGCTGGCCTGGAACTCACTATGTAGACCAGGCTGGCCTTGAACTCATAGAGATCCGCCTGCCTCTGCCTCCCAAGTGCTAGGACTACAGGCGTGCACCACCATACCCAGCTTATTTATATATTTCTTTTCATCTTTTTTGAGACAGGGTCTCCCTGTAGCCCCAGCTGACCTGGAACTCACAGAGATCAGCCTGCCTCTTCCTCCTGAGTGCTGGGATTAAAGGCGTGCACCACCATGTCCCATCATTTTTTTTTTTAATGTGTATGAGTGTATTGCTTCCATGTGTATAAGTGAACCCGTATCATACAATGTTGGCGGAGGTCAGAAGAGGATGTGGATCCCCTGGAACTGGATTTATGGACGGTTGTTAGCTTCCATGTGGGTGCTGGGAATCGAACCTAGGTTCTCTACAAAAGCAGTCAGTGCTCTTACCAACAAGCTATCTCTCCAGCCAGGGCCTGCATTCTTAATGACACTGCCTCCCAAGTCTGAGGAAAGGGTCAGAAGAGGACCCCACCCTCTAATGGATACTCCTCTAGGGGAGAGGAATCTTCAGATGCATTGTCCAGGCTTCAGATGGGCCTATACAAGTGGATGGCCCCTGGGGATATAGTCAGATAAGGAACCCAGCAGCCCTCAAATGTCCCTGGACCTCAGGAAGCTTGGCCCAGTGCTCCTCCACCCTCTACTTTCAATGTTCCAACTGCTACTTAGCTCAATCCTCTTGTCACCTCTCCCTTCCTACTGTGGGTGACAAGGAGGCTTGGCTGGATGCCAGTCCCTGTTGCCTTCCGTTCCCTCCCACACTGGCTTCAGGGCCACTCTCCTCCCTAAGATGTCCCTGCACCTGGGCTGCACCTAGTCTGCCTGTCTCCAGCCCAGGGTCCTCCCTCTCCCCACACTGACCCAGTTCACCATAGGCCTTGTGGGACTAGTGTCCCAGAAACTACCAGGTACAGTGGTGGTCCCACTTTTCAACTGCATGTTTCTGGGAAAGGGGCAGCCACAGGGAGGAGCCTGGAGATGAGGCCAGTGGCAGGACAGAGTGACCATCTTCAAAGAAGAAGGCACCCTGGTCCAGAAGAATCGCCTGCCCTCAGGGCTGGGGAGGAACTTAGAGCCACTCAGATTAGCTCCAGTTGAGGGGAGAGGACATAAGCTTGTTACCAAACTTGGGGATCATAGTCTGCCCGAAGCCACGTTCAGCCACCAGTCCTCAACAAGCCAATTAAAAGAGCCAAATTAATAGTGGAAAGCAGAAAAAGGAGATATATTCATGTGGCCACACTGGGAAGTCGGCTTCTTGAGAACAGGTGGCTGAACCTGGCTTGGGACACAGGCTGTGACCCCTCAAGTCATGGAGCAGGCAAAGAGGCATAGCAGGACTGAATAACTTGCCCAGGTACACACAGGAAATACAGCACTGCCCCCCAAGTTGAGGAAAGTGGCAGAAGAACCCCACCAAGAAACATTCCTCAGGGCCTTCTTCA